CCACACACCTTGCCGCCACCCATCACAACACACAACCAGATGCCATCACAACGGCCAGCACAGTCCCACATCACACACTTACGCTCCCACCACCAGCCAAGTGTGCACCATCAAAATAATGGCTTCATGGCCCTACAAGCTCACGCACCACAAAGACACACGCTGATGTGTAGTTCCCTCCTCCCAGCTTCCTGGCACTAGGCTGAAGTTGGACATCTCCCTTCCCCAATCCCTTCTCCAGATGCAGGCTATGGACGAAATTCCTTCCCACCCTCTGCCTCAGTTTCCCCTATCACTGAATCCCCGCCCTACCTCAAAAGTCTCTTCCCCGAGGTCCTGGGTTCCCAAAACAGTGAGGCCCGCTGTGCTGATGAATCGAGTCCCCTGGCCCAACACGGGGTGCTGAGGTTCACAGTCAGCCACCAGAGTCACCACCCCACCATCCACACTGACTGCCACACGGTGCCACCTGCAAGGAGACAGTCTCAGTGGGGTTGCTTCTCCCCTCATCTCTCCCTGAACCCCCCCACCCTCTCTATATTCACCTGCCATCCATGAGGTTGACCTGCTGGGGGAGGGGGCTCAAGGAGTCCCCTAGGAGGCCCGGCGCTGGCCCCAGCACCAGGCCCAGCTGCCGGGCACCACCCTCGTCGTAAATGGATAAAAGGACAGATTGGTTGGCTGGCTGGCCCCGCAGAGTGGTCAACACAGAGAAGTTCTCAGGAAAGTGCGCGTCTGGAGGGGGCAGGCAGAGGGAAAGGGGCAGCTCAGATGGCCTGGCAGTGACCCGTGTGCTCAGAGTGGCCCTCGGCCCCTCCTGCCCCGACTCACCTGGGAAGAGCTCCTGCGTGGGGATGCCGAGAGTGCTGGCTTTGCCTACCCTGAATGCCCGGTCGCCCTCCGGGGCCCTGTCGGGGCAGAGGCCAGGCCCCTCAGGGACCCCAGCCTGGCCCCCCCGCACGCCCAGGGCCTTCAGCACATCCACGGGGTCTGCTGCAGAGAGAAGCCAGGGTACAGAAATTCCAAACAAGCTCAGGACTCCACGGGAAGGGCTCACGTTTGGTGGACCCATCCCCTCGCTGTGTTCAGGGGTTAAAGCAAAGGAGCAGGCCTGGGACCTGCACCCCCCTCACCACCCCACAGCTGTTCATCAGCCTGCTGACTCCTGTTTTATTTTCCCTTGAATTTTGGTAAGGAAAGAAAAGGGCTGACCTAGTTCTGGGATGAATCAAAGCTTCCTGGCCTGAGCCCCAGCCCAGACTGTCCCCCTCTGCACACTCCCCCGCACCAGCTCCCTGGGGCTGCTTCCCCGGCCTAAAGCCCCCTTGCCAGGGCAAACGCTGGGGAGGAGGGGCTCCTTGTGCATGTTCTTCCCCCACCTCCTCCCTCTGATCTCCTTCAAACACTATTCCTCTGACCTCCTTCTTGATCTCCACCACCATCCTCTGACCACCATCTTTCCTGATGCTTCCAACCTCCTCCCTTTGACCACTGCCACTTCGGATCTCTTCCCTCTGACCATCCCCACTGACCTCTGCTCTGGCCACCCCCGCTGACCTCCTTCCTCTGCCTAACCCTGACTTCCCCCAGTCCCCCACTGACCTCCTTCCTCTGCCTTCTCTCCGGTTCCCTCCTCTGACTATCTCCCTCTGGTTACCCACCCCCACACCTCCTCTGTCCCAGCCTCCTTCATCTGACCTGCAACCTCCCCATTTCATCTCCCTCTCTGACCTCCTCCTTATGGCCACCTCTCTCTGATAACCTCCTGATCTACTCCCGCTCATTCCAGTATAGGACAGGCCTGGTCTGGCCTAACCAGCTCTTAATCAAGACCATCCTCCCAGCCCCACCCCACTCTGCCTGGCCAGTGCTAACTGGAACCACATGGCTTGGGCAGGGGTGGGCGGGGGCTTCCCCTGGGCCCAAAGCCCCTGCCTGATCTCCCCTCCCCCCTGAAGACTGTCCCACTGACACCCTGACCCAGCCTCTTGGCAGGAGCCAGATTCTGCCGAATCTGCCCATGACCTCACCCTGGGGGCGGCTCTGCTGACCTCACTATCGGGAACCAGGGTTGGGGGCCAGACTTGGGCCAAATAAGGGCTTGGATGAGGGACCCCCATCCCAGCTCGTCCCAGGTCAGACTCCTAGGGGTCCTGTCCCAGCCTCAGCTCCCTCCATCCTCCAACCCCGAATCTTCCTTTCTCCTCCCTCTCCCTCACCCCCACTCTGTCCCACTTTCCGTGTCAGTCTTTCCAGGTCTCTCTCTCTGTCCAACTCTGAATCAGTCTCTCTCTGGCTCTCTAGCTCTCTCTGTCTCTCGGTATTTCATTGGTATTCCATCTGTCCCTGTGCACGTCCCTATCTCTGTGCCTCTCTCTTTCTCTCTGTGGATCACTCTCCCCATCTCTCTCCATCCACACCCCCCAACCCTGCCACCAGCAGCAGCCCCATTTCTAATTGCCTGTTTTGTGGCTGGGCTATTATTAAGAGATATTTGGGTTATAGTTCCCTGGGGCTGCGATCCGGGCTCCCAGGCTCTGCTAACCACAGAGGTCGCGCCCCCATGGAATGGTTATCCCAGCTGCCCCCTCTCCAGGCTGGGGCTCCAGGAAGGGCTGAGATCCATAGCCCCACCCAGCATGGCTCTCCCAGGCTCTGCTCTCACCCAAAGTCCTGTCTCTATGTAGTGGGAAGAGGTCTCACCAGCTGTTCATTCTCATTTAAAAAATCCTTCCCGGCACCTGACGCAAAATTCTCCTGCTTCAATCTTGCACTCCTTCTGTAATGACCTTTCAGAAACTGACTGCCCTTTCTTTTCATGGCTGGCTTCGTGACAAAGAGACACACAAGAGGCATTGAGTCCTGCCTGCAGGGCCAGGGGGTGTGGGGGTCTGTCAAGGACACAGCCTGCCCTTCCCCCAGAGGGGGTCAAGGCCCCAGGGAGATGCTGGATGGGGTCTAGGACATGGAAGGAGGCAGGCAGGGACTGGGCTAGAACATGTCTGGGATCTCCTCAGAAGTGTAGGAGAGTGTAAGTGTGTGCGCCAATGTGTATATGTCCCACTATGTACATGCGTGAGATTGTGCAAACATGTGTGTGCCTGTACATGGTCCAGGGAATGGCTGAGCATGTAATTTCTGGATGCATCAATGTGTACAAGTATTTGGCCTATGATAGAAGACTAGGATGACATGTGGCTGTGTGTCCATGTGAGTCGGGGTTGCAACAGTGGGCTTGTGGTCCAGTGGTACATACGTACAGGTGAGTCTGATTGTAACAGCTCAGGCTTGAGATGCGGGAGTGTGGTTATAGGTGAGAGTGTGGCCCAGTCAGCGAGTATGTGGCTGGTTGTGAATGCTTACTGTGTTGTGCGGATGCAGCCGAAGCATGTGTGAGACTGAAAGCGTAGGACGGTGATAAGCTGTGACCATGCGGCCAGTGGCTGACAGGATTGCCTAGGCGTGGGCACCGGTGTTTAACATTCCTCGTGTCCCAAGGGCTTATATTCCGAATGCTTGCCTGAGATTGCAGACTGTGGATGAGTGAGCATGGGAATGGGAAATGGGCCAATTTGGGATTCTCCACGTGAGCAGGCACCTCCCTGGACTCCAAGAAAAAGTGAGGAAGTGTAGATGGTGGTGTGTGTGTGTGTGTGTGCTGGGGGGCTGAGATCACCTTAAGGAGGATTTCCAGGATGGCCTGGCCTGAATCTCTCAGACCAGGGAAGCCCCTTCAATCACCACTGTTGGGACCGTGACCTTCCCCAACCCTGGGGCGCCCCCCAACCAAGCACCGTGCGGGGCAGGGCGCGGCATCCAGCCAGATGCGCGCAGCTGGGCGTGCGTCAGCGCTGACTCACCCCTCTGGCGGCCCCCGGGACCCCTGGGGGTGGGTGCTGAGAAATTCCTCGGGAAAAACACCCGTTGCTGGCTCGCCGGGGGGGAGGCACTTCCACTTCCGCCCCCGCAAGGACTCCGCCCGCCCCGCCCCGCGCCCCGCCCCGCCTCGCCCCTCACCGCGGCCCTCCCGAGGCCCTGTCCATGGTGCTGATCCCGGCTAGGGGGAGCGCAGGGTGGGGGCAACAGCCCCCTCCCGTACGGGCCCCCACTATCCCTCACGCTCAGAATCATCCACTCATGTCCTCGTGGGCAATTATGTACGCCCCCAAGTCACAACCACACCCCTCACTGGGTCACCCAGAGACACACAATTACTCTCAAAATCAGACCCCAACACACCTGCACACCCACGACTCAAAATCACATTCTCATCCAGGGGTCACCCCGTTCCCCATATTCCTACACTTCTCGTCAACTCCCACACCCGAGCACACACACAATTTGACTCCAAATGGCCATACACACACCCCTAAAAATTGCTTTCATTCTCATACATCCATCAGTAAAATACGGTCACATCTCCCCGCCCCCACCCCTCCCACCCTCCCGCAGCTGTCATCCGCAAATGGCCCAGAATTGGACACTCGCGCCAGAACACCACACCGTAGCCACGCGCAGCGCGCTCGCCTCCCATGCACACACAGCCCCACACACCCCCCATTCCCAATTCCACCTCATCCACCCAGGGACCGCGCTGGATCCTGCACTCCGCGTCCTGTGTTTCCTGCCCAGCTCACCGGCCTGAGTCTGGAGCAGAAGCTGCAGCGAGGCCAGAAGCAGGCAGAGGCCAACCCGCGGCTGGATCAGACCCCGGCGACTCCCCATCCCGGGGGGCCCCAGAAAAGGCGGGAGACCAGCCGGTGCGGCTGCGGGGCGCGGCGACTCCGCCGGCTGGGTGCGCTCGCTCGCAGCGGCCGGCTCCACTCGGGATCCGCGTGAGACTGCGAACACCCCGCCCTGGCCTCGCCCTGCGCTCCAACGCCGGGCCAGGCGGGGCTCGCTGGGGGGGCGGGTGCGTGGCTGACAGCTGGTGGGGGAAGTTGGGGAAGTTTGCGCCGAGCGCTGATTGGCCGGCCAGGGGCGGAGCCCTGAGTCCGGAGCTGGGCCCTTCTTGCCCCTCCCCACACTGAAGGAGGAGGGTCCCTCCCACCCAGCCTTAGAATTCGGAGTCCCAGCCTTACCCCAAACCCTTTTCTCCTAACAGGCTCCGTTGAAGGAGGTCTTACCTTCATTCTAAACCTTCAACCTCCATCCAGGCTCTGGACTTTGTGGGTACAGCTTTATACCATAGCCTTTCTCTCTCACCCAGGCCCCCAAATGGATACCCCAGCCTCAATCCCAAATCCTCACATGGCCCTGTTAAGTGGGGGAGGCTGTCCCTACCCAGAAGCAGGGCATCGCTGCAGGGAGGAGTGGACCCCTGCGATTCCTGAGGTAAAGCAAAGCACCCAACTCCCTGGGACCCTCCCCCTTCCCAGTGTGAACAGGCCCCAGGGGTCAGGCGGAGCTGTCTGTGCAGTCGAGCGAGCAAAGACATGTAAGATCAGATGGAGCTTCCACAGGGAGGAGCCCTAGGGGAGCATCCTGGGAGCCAAACCCCCACCCACAATTGTGGGGAAGAGGGTGATGCAGGCAGTGCCTCCCTCCCAGCCTCAAGCTCCATAGACAAAGAGTCTCTGTGTCTCTAGAGAGGAGGGGTGGGGCCCCATCTGGGCTGAGGGCAAGATGGGGGACACGGGGTGGGGGGAGAGAGGGAATCTCCCAAGCTGCTCCTTGCTGCTCCCCAGGGACATCAGAAGCTAAGACTTCCCCAGCTAAAAATTTCTCATAAAGTTCCTGCCCTGCCCTGCCCTGCTGGGAAGTTCTTCCCATAGTCTGACTCTATTCCGTGACTTTTCTCTCTCCATTCCCTCTTTGAAAGGACCCTTCTGGGCCCACTTTTTCACCCTCTTTCATTCTCTCCCGCCAACCAGAGATTCTTTGCCCAGAACAGAGACAGCAAGAGAATGCCCCTAATTCCCCACGCCCCTGAAACGCCCCCACGCCCTGAATAATTTAATCATAATAGAAAGCCACATTATGAGTACAGCAGTAAGAAGAAATTTTTGACATATAAAAGAAAGGGGATGTATTGAGGTTAAGGGGGTCCCCCCAGCAGTCTTCCCAGGGTCAATTCAGAATCAGGGGCTCCCAGGGCCACTTCACCCTGCAGGGGATCGCCTGGAGGGTGCTTGTGAGGGTAGATGAGCAGAGAATGCATGGCGGGAGTCAGGTGCTGGCCAGCAGAGGTCACGCATCAAGGGAAGGATCAACATGGCCGGCACAGCCCGGACGGTACTGATCTCAGGCTGCTCCTCGGGCATTGGCCTGCAGCTGGCAGCGCAGCTGGCTCGTGACCCCAGGCAGCGTTACCAAGGTAAAGGGTCCAGGACAGGGGTGGGCACGGCTTCCAAGGACTCTAAGCCCTCCCGGCAGTATTTCCAGTAGCCTATCCCTTCAGCTGCCTTATTGGGATTGGGGAAGACCCAGGATACACGGAAGCTGCCTTCCAATCTCTGCTCATGAATCATGCCCTCATCTGAGGAGTATTCCTTGGGCACCTCCTGGGTGCCAGGCACTGTTCTAGGCGGCACACAGCTGTGAACAAAAGAGACCAGAAAATTCTCTGCTCTGGGTAGTGGTTTTGTCAGGGAGGGAAGATGGAAAAGAAATAGATTGTTAGTTAGATTGTATAATACATTTAGACTAATAAGTGCAAAGAAGCAAAATAAAGCAAGGGGGAGGGAACGTGGTAGGGGGTGCGGGTGGGTGTTATTTTTCGAGGGGCTGGTGGAGAGGGCTTCTCTGAGGTTTCACTTAGGCATTCCCTTCCCTCCCCCACCCCTCCACAGATTACTGCTCCAAGATAAGCTTCTTAAGTGATGCTGACCTTGGGGGTTTAGGGGGACCTCTAGGTCTAGGGACTTGGCCTCCTGAAACTGCAGTCGGTTATCCCAATCTGCCCCCTCCCATGGGCACCTCTGACCCAGAGCACACTGGAGACAAAGTAGGCAAAGGGCCATTCCTGAGGAGGAGGCTAGAGGGTGAGGACATTGCCCCAGCTGGCCAAGCTGCTTCTCCCAGCCCTCTGCCCTTTGTCTCAGAGACATGCACAGCTTTGGGTGTGACGGTCTGAGTGCCAGTGTGCAGAGAAGTAACCATGCCGTGTGTGTCCCTGTGAGCAGGCAATGCGTGTATAGAACTGCTGGAGGAGGATGTTCATGGAGTGCTCACGATGGGCCAAGTTCCAGTCTAAGTGTTCTGCATCTAGTAAGATATTTAATCCCCATATGACCTTATGAGGTGGCTGATAGTATTTGCCCCACCTTAGGAAGGAGGGAAACTGAGGCACAGGCTACCAAAGGTCCTTGTCCAAGGTCGCCCAGCCAGGAAGTGGCAGAGCGCTGATTTGTACCCAGGCAGCCCAGCTCCTGGGCCTGCACTTGTCGTTATATGTGATGTATGTGGTCCCATCCGTCTGCACAGGGCATGTGAATCACACAGGTCCAGAGATAACATGCAAATACATGTGTGATTGTGGGTGCATGCAGGAGGGAAGGGGGTGCAAACATGTACACGGGTGCAGGAACTTGGCAGTCTGACAAACCCAGGTTCAAATCTCAGTTCTAACACTTACCTGGGGTGGTACACGCAAACTTCACTTTGCGGGGCCTCCGGTGTGTTCATCTGTATAATGAGGAGAATAGCTTTGCCTACTTGTTCTGCTTAGTACTGCTAAGTAATAAAGCACCCCAAAATTGATGGTGTACAACGACTGTAATCATCTACCTCTCATGGTTTACAAAGGTCATGAATTTAGAAGGGCTCAGCTGGGCAGTTCTGGCTCAGGGTTAAAGGCCAGACCAAATAGAACAGCTGGGGCTGGAACACATCACCAGACTAGGCAGGCATCTCTCTCCCTTCCAGCAATCTCTGGGATGCTCCATGTGGTCTCTTTGGGCTATGGAACCCTCAGGACAGGAGGGCTACTTAGCGTAGATGAAGGTTTCAAGAATGTTCCAGCAAAACAAGGCAGGAACTGCAGCACTTCTGACCTCATCTCAGAAGCCACGCATCACTTTCACCACATTCTATTTTTTTGGTTCCCAGCTATTCACAAGAGTCAAGGGGAGGGGAAAGAGATTTTCTTGATGGAACAGAAGCAAGGTTATAGAAGAGTACGTGCAGTGAAAGATGTTGGAACATTAGCCAGCTACCTAATCATAGGATCTTGTGACGATTGCAGACAGTGCTTATAAATGTATTTAGCACAGTGATTGGCACATAGTAGGTATTCAATAAATTGGAATTTACTCTGTCAGTGGAAATGTGGCTAATCATTACTTGCATGTGCACATATGTACGTATGTTGACTCTAGGAGTGTATGCATTATTTTCTTCATGACAATCTGTTTTACATTTATTTTATTGTCTTGCCTACTGGCTATGAATTGCATGAAGGCAGGGACTTCTGTCTATTTTACTTGATGCAAGTCTCAGCCCCTAGAATAGGGCAGAGTGTTTAATAGATGCTCAGTAAATGTTGGAGGCATGGATGGAGAGTGGATGGAAGCACATGTAAATGTATGTACCCAAGTGTGCATTTGTGGTTGTTTGTTGAATGTAGGGGTGTAAACCTGTGGGTCTCCATCCCTCTGTGACTGTTCACACAAGATCACAACACCACCTAAGTCCATACGCGGTGGAAAGGAGCCCAGGGCTTGCTTCAACTCTTGCTCTCTGTCCCCAGTGGTGGCCACCATGAGGGACATGGAAAAGAAGGGGACACTAGAGGCAGCTGCTGGGGAGACTCTGGGTCAGACCCTCACCGTGGCCCAGCTGGACGTGTGCAGTGACGAGTCAGTGGCCCGGTGTCTCCGCTGCATCCCGGGAGGGGAAGTGGATGTGCTGGGTGAGACTGAATGGCTCCTGGGGTCATGCACCCCCTCCCTGACCTAAGCAGAGATTCTTATTGTAGCAAGTCCTCTCCGGCGTCTGAGCATCAGCCCTCTTGCTGCTCCGGCAACCTCTGACTCTCAACAGAATCGGTAGACCAGTTGGTTAAGTTGACCAAGAGCCCAAGATACCAATTTATTAGAGACAAAGAAATAAACTGAGGCCTGCGGGTAGGGTGGATTTTATTGAATGAACTTCTCACAGATGGAGAAAACCAGATGAGGTTGGGAAAATTACTTTGATGAGTCATTTGGGGAATGGAGCAGGATGAAAAAGCAACTCATGGTCCCTAAATGGTCTTTGAAGTCGGGTAGGGGCTGGTGGTGACTATTTCCATGCATTTTGGGGTCAGAGCTGAATTTCTCATGCATTAATAATGGAGAGGCAGTTCTCAGCAGTCCTTTCTCCATCTAGGGCTCAGGGTCCCCTTTAACAAATGTTAAACTATATGTAAAGATCACCAGGGCTCTGTGTTTATCCACCCAAGGTATCCTGGACTGGCCTTAGCTTTGGAAAGGGAGGGTGGGATGATTCAGGGAAGGTCCCTGAAGGAGTGGCACTAGAAGGGTTGGGGAGACTTCAAGGTAACCCTCAACATCTCCTCCCTTAGTGAATAATGCTGGAGTGGGCCTGGTGGGGCCTGTGGAGGGGCTCAGCCTACCTGCTATGCAGAACATCTTTGATACCAACTTTTTCGGGGCTGTCCGTCTGGTCAAAGCAGTGCTTCCTGGCATGAAGAGAAGGCGGCAGGGCCACATTGTGGTGGTCAGCAGTGTCATGGGGCTTCAGGGTAAGCCCCTGGGGGCCCACCCATGGGAATCCCCCAAGTGTCTGCCCCTCCCAGGCTGGAAGGATGGCAAATAGGTTTTAGCTCATGTTCCGATGAATCTGTATTGAGAAGGATTCTGAAGCTCAGGAGGAAAGATTTCTGGGATAGATTAACTATGTCTGCCATGGTACTGGAGTACGATAGGATAGCAGGCATGATGCCAAGGGTCATCTACATCTAGCATTGACCCCCTTCTGGACAGCTCTAAAAATCTCTCCCAACTATCCCCCAAAACCCTAAAGAACCATTAGAATTTCTTCTCCCGAGATTCCTTCTGGCTAAACACCTAAGTGTAGGAGAGTGTAAGTGTGTGCGCCAATGTGTATATGTCCCACTATGTACATGCGTGAGATTGTGCAAACATGTGTGTGCCTGTACATGGTCCAGGGAATGGCTGAGCATGTAATTTCTGGATGCATCAATGTGTACAAGTATTTGGCCTATGATAGAAGACTAGGATGACATGTGGCTGTGTGTCCATGTGAGTCGGGGTTGCAACAGTGGGCTTGTGGTCCAGTGGTACATACGTACAGGTGAGTCTGATTGTAACAGCTCAGGCTTGAGATGCGGGAGTGTGGTTATAGGTGAGAGTGTGGCCCAGTCAGCGAGTATGTGGCTGGTTGTGAATGCTTACTGTGTTGTGCGGATGCAGCCGAAGCATGTGTGAGACTGAAAGCGTAGGACGGTGATAAGCTGTGACCATGCGGCCAGTGGCTGACAGGATTGCCTAGGCGTGGGCACCGGTGTTTAACATTCCTCGTGTCCCAAGGGCTTATATTCCGAATGCTTGCCTGAGATTGCAGACTGTGGATGAGTGAGCATGGGAATGGGAAATGGGCCAATTTGGGATTCTCCACGTGAGCAGGCACCTCCCTGGACTCCAAGAAAAAGTGAGGAAGTGTAGATGGTGGTGTGTGTGTGTGTGTGTGTGCTGGGGGGCTGAGATCACCTTAAGGAGGATTTCCAGGATGGCCTGGCCTGAATCTCTCAGACCAGGGAAGCCCCTTCAATCACCACTGTTGGGACCGTGACCTTCCCCAACCCTGGGGCGCCCCCCAACCAAGCACCGTGCGGGGCAGGGCGCGGCATCCAGCCAGATGCGCGCAGCTGGGCGTGCGTCAGCGCTGACTCACCCCTCTGGCGGCCCCCGGGACCCCTGGGGGTGGGTGCTGAGAAATTCCTCGGGAAAAACACCCGTTGCTGGCTCGCCGGGGGGGAGGCACTTCCACTTCCGCCCCCGCAAGGACTCCGCCCGCCCCGCCCCGCGCCCCGCCCCGCCTCGCCCCTCACCGCGGCCCTCCCGAGGCCCTGTCCATGGTGCTGATCCCGGCTAGGGGGAGCGCAGGGTGGGGGCAACAGCCCCCTCCCGTACGGGCCCCCACTATCCCTCACGCTCAGAATCATCCACTCATGTCCTCGTGGGCAATTATGTACGCCCCCAAGTCACAACCACACCCCTCACTGGGTCACCCAGAGACACACAATTACTCTCAAAATCAGACCCCAACACACCTGCACACCCACGACTCAAAATCACATTCTCATCCAGGGGTCACCCCGTTCCCCATATTCCTACACTTCTCGTCAACTCCCACACCCGAGCACACACACAATTTGACTCCAAATGGCCATACACACACCCCTAAAAATTGCTTTCATTCTCATACATCCATCAGTAAAATACGGTCACATCTCCCCGCCCCCACCCCTCCCACCCTCCCGCAGCTGTCATCCGCAAATGGCCCAGAATTGGACACTCGCGCCAGAACACCACACCGTAGCCACGCGCAGCGCGCTCGCCTCCCATGCACACACAGCCCCACACACCCCCCATTCCCAATTCCACCTCATCCACCCAGGGACCGCGCTGGATCCTGCACTCCGCGTCCTGTGTTTCCTGCCCAGCTCACCGGCCTGAGTCTGGAGCAGAAGCTGCAGCGAGGCCAGAAGCAGGCAGAGGCCAACCCGCGGCTGGATCAGACCCCGGCGACTCCCCATCCCGGGGGGCCCCAGAAAAGGCGGGAGACCAGCCGGTGCGGCTGCGGGGCGCGGCGACTCCGCCGGCTGGGTGCGCTCGCTCGCAGCGGCCGGCTCCACTCGGGATCCGCGTGAGACTGCGAACACCCCGCCCTGGCCTCGCCCTGCGCTCCAACGCCGGGCCAGGCGGGGCTCGCTGGGGGGGCGGGTGCGTGGCTGACAGCTGGTGGGGGAAGTTGGGGAAGTTTGCGCCGAGCGCTGATTGGCCGGCCAGGGGCGGAGCCCTGAGTCCGGAGCTGGGCCCTTCTTGCCCCTCCCCACACTGAAGGAGGAGGGTCCCTCCCACCCAGCCTTAGAATTCGGAGTCCCAGCCTTACCCCAAACCCTTTTCTCCTAACAGGCTCCGTTGAAGGAGGTCTTACCTTCATTCTAAACCTTCAACCTCCATCCAGGCTCTGGACTTTGTGGGTACAGCTTTATACCATAGCCTTTCTCTCTCACCCAGGCCCCCAAATGGATACCCCAGCCTCAATCCCAAATCCTCACATGGCCCTGTTAAGTGGGGGAGGCTGTCCCTACCCAGAAGCAGGGCATCGCTGCAGGGAGGAGTGGACCCCTGCGATTCCTGAGGTAAAGCAAAGCACCCAACTCCCTGGGACCCTCCCCCTTCCCAGTGTGAACAGGCCCCAGGGGTCAGGCGGAGCTGTCTGTGCAGTCGAGCGAGCAAAGACATGTAAGATCAGATGGAGCTTCCACAGGGAGGAGCCCTAGGGGAGCATCCTGGGAGCCAAACCCCCACCCACAATTGTGGGGAAGAGGGTGATGCAGGCAGTGCCTCCCTCCCAGCCTCAAGCTCCATAGACAAAGAGTCTCTGTGTCTCTAGAGAGGAGGGGTGGGGCCCCATCTGGGCTGAGGGCAAGATGGGGGACACGGGGTGGGGGGAGAGAGGGAATCTCCCAAGCTGCTCCTTGCTGCTCCCCAGGGACATCAGAAGCTAAGACTTCCCCAGCTAAAAATTTCTCATAAAGTTCCTGCCCTGCCCTGCCCTGCTGGGAAGTTCTTCCCATAGTCTGACTCTATTCCGTGACTTTTCTCTCTCCATTCCCTCTTTGAAAGGACCCTTCTGGGCCCACTTTTTCACCCTCTTTCATTCTCTCCCGCCAACCAGAGATTCTTTGCCCAGAACAGAGACAGCAAGAGAATGCCCCTAATTCCCCACGCCCCTGAAACGCCCCCACGCCCTGAATAATTTAATCATAATAGAAAGCCACATTATGAGTACAGCAGTAAGAAGAAATTTTTGACATATAAAAGAAAGGGGATGTATTGAGGTTAAGGGGGTCCCCCCAGCAGTCTTCCCAGGGTCAATTCAGAATCAGGGGCTCCCAGGGCCACTTCACCCTGCAGGGGATCGCCTGGAGGGTGCTTGTGAGGGTAGATGAGCAGAGAATGCATGGCGGGAGTCAGGTGCTGGCCAGCAGAGGTCACGCATCAAGGGAAGGATCAACATGGCCGGCACAGCCCGGACGGTACTGATCTCAGGCTGCTCCTCGGGCATTGGCCTGCAGCTGGCAGCGCAGCTGGCTCGTGACCCCAGGCAGCGTTACCAAGGTAAAGGGTCCAGGACAGGGGTGGGCACGGCTTCCAAGGACTCTAAGCCCTCCCGGCAGTATTTCCAGTAGCCTATCCCTTCAGCTGCCTTATTGGGATTGGGGAAGACCCAGGATACACGGAAGCTGCCTTCCAATCTCTGCTCATGAATCATGCCCTCATCTGAGGAGTATTCCTTGGGCACCTCCTGGGTGCCAGGCACTGTTCTAGGCGGCACACAGCTGTGAACAAAAGAGACCAGAAAATTCTCTGCTCTGGGTAGTGGTTTTGTCAGGGAGGGAAGATGGAAAAGAAATAGATTGTTAGTTAGATTGTATAATACATTTAGACTAATAAGTGCAAAGAAGCAAAATAAAGCAAGGGGGAGGGAACGTGGTAGGGGGTGCGGGTGGGTGTTATTTTTCGAGGGGCTGGTGGAGAGGGCTTCTCTGAGGTTTCACTTAGGCATTCCCTTCCCTCCCCCACCCCTCCACAGATTACTGCTCCAAGATAAGCTTCTTAAGTGATGCTGACCTTGGGGGTTTAGGGGGACCTCTAGGTCTAGGGACTTGGCCTCCTGAAACTGCAGTCGGTTATCCCAATCTGCCCCCTCCCATGGGCACCTCTGACCCAGAGCACACTGGAGACAAAGTAGGCAAAGGGCCATTCCTGAGGAGGAGGCTAGAGGGTGAGGACATTGCCCCAGCTGGCCAAGCTGCTTCTCCCAGCCCTCTGCCCTTTGTCTCAGAGACATGCACAGCTTTGGGTGTGACGGTCTGAGTGCCAGTGTGCAGAGAAGTAACCATGCCGTGTGTGTCCCTGTGAGCAGGCAATGCGTGTATAGAACTGCTGGAGGAGGATGTTCATGGAGTGCTCACGATGGGCCAAGTTCCAGTCTAAGTGTTCTGCATCTAGTAAGATATTTAATCCCCATATGACCTTATGAGGTGGCTGATAGTATTTGCCCCACCTTAGGAAGGAGGGAAACTGAGGCACAGGCTACCAAAGGTCCTTGTCCAAGGTCGCCCAGCCAGGAAGTGGCAGAGCGCTGATTTGTACCCAGGCAGCCCAGCTCCTGGGCCTGCACTTGTCGTTATATGTGATGTATGTGGTCCCATCCGTCTGCACAGGGCATGTGAATCACACAGGTCCAGAGATAACATGCAAATACATGTGTGATTGTGGGTGCATGCAGGAGGGAAGGGGGTGCAAACATGTACACGGGTGCAGGAACTTGGCAGTCTGACAAACCCAGGTTCAAATCTCAGTTCTAACACTTACCTGGGGTGGTACACGCAAACTTCACTTTGCGGGGCCTCCGGTGTGTTCATCTGTATAATGAGGAGAATAGCTTTGCCTACTTGTTCTGCTTAGTACTGCTAAGTAATAAAGCACCCCAAAATTGATGGTGTACAACGACTGTAATCATCTACCTCTCATGGTTTACAAAGGTCATGAATTTAGAAGGGCTCAGCTGGGCAGTTCTGGCTCAGGGTTAAAGGCCAGACCAAATAGAACAGCTGGGGCTGGAACACATCACCAGACTAGGCAGGCATCTCTCTCCCTTCCAGCAATCTCTGGGATGCTCCATGTGGTCTCTTTGGGCTATGGAACCCTCAGGACAGGAGGGCTACTTAGCGTAGATGAAGGTTTCAAGAATGTTCCAGCAAAACAAGGCAGGAACTGCAGCACTTCTGACCTCATCTCAGAAGCCACGCATCACTTTCACCACATTCTATTTTTTTGGTTCCCAGCTATTCACAAGAGTCAAGGGGAGGGGAAAGAGATTTTCTTGATGGAACAGAAGCAAGGTTATAGAAGAGTACGTGCAGTGAAAGATGTTGGAACATTAGCCAGCTACCTAATCATAGGATCTTGTGACGATTGCAGACAGTGCTTATAAATGTATTTAGCACAGTGATTGGCACATAGTAGGTATTCAATAAATTGGAATTTACTCTGTCAGTGGAAATGTGGCTAATCATTACTTGCATGTGCACATATGTACGTATGTTGACTCTAGGAGTGTATGCATTATTTTCTTCATGACAATCTGTTTTACATTTATTTTATTGTCTTGCCTACTGGCTATGAATTGCATGAAGGCAGGGACTTCTGTCTATTTTACTTGATGCAAGTCTCAGCCCCTAGAATAGGGCAGAGTGTTTAATAGATGCTCAGTAAATGTTGGAGGCATGGATGGAGAGTGGATGGAAGCACATGTAAATGTATGTACCCAAGTGTGCATTTGTGGTTGTTTGTTGAATGTAGGGGTGTAAACCTGTGGGTCTCCATCCCTCTGTGACTGTTCACACAAGATCACAACACCACCTAAGTCCATACGCGGTGGAAAGGAGCCCAGGGCTTGCTTCAACTCTTGCTCTCTGTCCCCAGTGGTGGCCACCATGAGGGACATGGAAAAGAAGGGGACACTAGAGGCAGCTGCTGGGGAGACTCTGGGTCAGACCCTCACCGTGGCCCAGCTGGACGTGTGCAGTGACGAGTCAGTGGCCCGGTGTCTCCGCTGCATCCCGGGAGGGGAAGTGGATGTGCTGGGTGAGACTGAATGGCTCCTGGGGTCATGCACCCCCTCCCTGACCTAAGCAGAGATTCTTATTGTAGCAAGTCCTCTCCGGCGTCTGAGCATCAGCCCTCTTGCTGCTCCGGCAACCTCTGACTCTCAACAGAATCGGTAGACCAGTTGGTTAAGTTGACCAAGAGCCCAAGATACCAATTTATTAGAGACAAAGAAATAAACTGAGGCCTGCGGGTAGGGTGGATTTTATTGAATGAACTTCTCACAGATGGAGAAAACCAGATGAGGTTGGGAAAATTACTTTGATGAGTCATTTGGGGAATGGAGCAGGATGAAAAAGCAACTCATGGTCCCTAAATGGTCTTTGAAGTCGGGTAGGGGCTGGTGGTGACTATTTCCATGCATTTTGGGGTCAGAGCTGAATTTCTCATGCATTAATAATGGAGAGGCAGTTCTCAGCAGTCCTTTCTCCATCTAGGGCTCAGGGTCCCCTTTAACAAATGTTAAACTATATGTAAAGATCACCAGGGCTCTGTGTTTATCCACCCAAGGTATCCTGGACTGGCCTTAGCTTTGGAAAGGGAGGGTGGGATGATTCAGGGAAGGTCCCTGAAGGAGTGGCACTAGAAGGGTTGGGGAGACTTCAAGGTAACCCTCAACATCTCCTCCCTTAGTGAATAATGCTGGAGTGGGCCTGGTGGGGCCTGTGGAGGGGCTCAGCCTACCTGCTATGCAGAACATCTTTGATACCAACTTTTTCGGGGCTGTCCGTCTGGTCAAAGCAGTGCTTCCTGGCATGAAGAGAAGGCGGCAGGGCCACATTGTGGTGGTCAGCAGTGTCATGGGGCTTCAGGGTAAGCCCCTGGGGGCCCACCCATGGGAATCCCCCAAGTGTCTGCCCCTCCCAGGCTGGAAGGATGGCAAATAGGTTTTAGCTCATGTTCCGATGAATCTGTATTGAGAAGGATTCTGAAGCTCAGGAGGAAAGATTTCTGGGATAGATTAACTATGTCTGCCATGGTACTGGAGTACGATAGGATAGCAGGCATGATGCCAAGGGTCATCTACATCTAGCATTGACCCCCTTCTGGACAGCTCTAAAAATCTCTCCCAACTATCCCCCAAAACCCTAAAGAACCATTAGAATTTCTTCTCCCGAGATTCCTTCTGGCTAAACACCTCCCACCAGACCTCAGAGATATCTTGATTTGGAACGCTCAGGTCCTGCAGAAAAGAGAGAAGCTATTGACTAGTAATGCCTACTGTGGGCTTACCACGGAGGCCACCTACTTGCCATTCACATTCCTGGGTCTTTCCTCCTCGAACTAACTAGACTTCCTTTCTCCCCCTAGAAATTTCCTGGGATCAGCCCCCAACCTCAGCAATCCCCTAAGGCAGTTACCCTATTTGTTACCCTGCCATGAGGAAGCTGCACCTACCCAACCTTTTGGCTCACCTTCAGCTGCACCTCCTGACTTGAGGGGCCACATTCCCTGCTCAGCAAGGAGTGATAAGGCACCAGCTGCATGGCACATGCCCTCAGGGACCCTGGGGATCCCATACTCAGATAGCCCAGGAGCTCAGAGGATGGAGGGAAACACGGGGGCTTCCTGGGATGAGGGCAGATGGAGCACTGCAAGCAGGAGGCGGCACCCGGCACCCCCAGGACAACCCATCCTGGCCCCTATATGCTCCCACCACACAATGCCACACACTCGTCATGTTAGCCCCAAACATCGCCTCCTTCTGAGCCTCAAAGCCTCTCGGCTCTGTCTTCCAAAGACCCCAGCCCTCTGGACCCACAAAGCCCATCACCCAGGCCTCCAAAGGACGTGCCTTTCTCCAATCCTCTCAGGTGTCGTGTTCAACGAAGTCTACGCAGCCTCCAAGTTTGCCCTGGAGGGATTCTTCGAGAGTCTCGCTGTCCAGCTGCTCCAGTTCAACATCTTGTGAGCCAGGCACTTGGGCAGTTGGTGGCGGGGGGTTGGGATAGTAAGGGGGAGAGGGACAATTATGGGGGAAATGGGGACAAGGAAGGAGGTGAGCAACAAGGAAAGGGTAAAATAACAATGGGAGAAATCGGGGGTAGAGAGAAAAGAGGGGCAGTAAGGGGCAAAATAGGGCAGTGAGTGGGTTGGGGTACCAGAAGTCCTCCCCCTCACCCCGTTCCCAGCATCACTCTGGTGGAACCTGGCCCGGTGGCCACTGGCTTTGAGGGGAAACTCCTGGAGCAGGTCGCCACAGCAGAATTCCCGGGCACTGACCCGGACACCCTGCACTACTTCCGGGATTTCTACCTCCCAGCCTCCAGCGAGCTCTTCCGCTCTGTGGGACAGAGTCCACAGGACGTGGCCCAGGTGAGTGGGGGGCCCAGAACCCCAACACGTGGCTCAGGTACGTGCGGGTGCCCCGTCCTACAGAACTCCCCTCCCTGAGTCCCAGAGCTCAGGGTTCCGCCCCACAGGCCATTGTCAAGGTCATCGGCTCAGTCAGACCGCCCCTGCGCCGACAGACAAATGTTCGCTATACTCCACTGACTGCCCTCAAAGCCATGAACCCCTCGGGCAGCCTGTACGTGAGAATCACCCACCGCCTGCTCTTCCGCTGGCCTCGTCTTCTCCACCTTGGACTTCGATGCCTGGCCTTTGGGCGGGTATGGCCCCGGTGAGCAGAGCCTCACCCAACCCTCCCCTGGACAGCCAGGCCTCTTCAGTTCACAGCCGTCTCGGAGGCCAGTGCAGACTCTCCATGCATTCATTCATGCAATAAACTCTGCTGACCTGCTCTGTGCCTGGGCTTTTCTGGGATCCACGAGAGCCCTCAGATCCCTCTATGGTCAGGGCTGGGGCAGAAAAAGGGACCCTGGGACCCTGGGACCCTGGGTTGAGAAGCCCAAAGCAGGGAGCTGGAGCTGTGTCTGGGAAGGCAGGGGAGGCTTTCTGGAGAAGGGGACCTTGTCCATGGCCTTGAAAGATGAGACAGATGGCTTCATTCAACCTCTGGATTCATTGTCTTTGGGCCTGGAAATACAGAGGATGATCCAAAAACCTATCCACATAGAACTGGGCTCACTAAGGCACCTCCAGACTTTGCTGGTCACACACTCCATCAGCAAAACGTGTTTGGGCACACGTCAGCAATGAATGTACATTTTTTTTTGGTATCATTAATCTAAAATTACATGAGGAACATTGTGGTTACTAGACTCTCCCCTTCACCAAGCCCCCCACCACACCCCATTACAGTCACTGTCCATCAGCGTAGTAAGATGCTGTAGAATCACTATTTGTCTTCTCTGTGTTGCACAGCCCTCCCCATGCCTCCCCCACATTATACATGCTAATTATAAGGCCCCCTTTCTTCTCCCCCAATTTCTCCCTCCCTTCCCACCCATTCTCCCCAGTCTCTTTCCCTTTGGTAACTGTTAGTCCATTCTTGGGTTCTGTGATTGTGCTGCTGTTTTGTTCCTTCAGTTTTTCCTTTGTTCTTATATTCCACATATGAGTGAAATCATTTGGTACTTGTCTTTCTCCGCCTGGCTCATTTTTTCATGAAGAATATATTTGTAACCACTAGCAATCACTATATTAAATTTTTAATAAAGCCCAGTCTCTTATGTCTAAAAAACTTAGAAAACAAGTGTGGGCAATGATGTAGAGAATCTGGAAGCCTTGTGCACTGTTGATAAGAATGCAAAATGGTGCAGCCACTGTGCAAAAGAGTATGGTGGTTCCTCAAAAAAGGAAACAGAATTATGAAGTGGCCCAGCAACTCCACTTCTGGGTCTTTTATCCAGAAGAATTGAACACAGGGTTGTGAAGAGATATTTGCACACACCCACATTCACAGCAGCATTGGTCATAACAGTCAAAAGGTGGGAACAACCGAAGCGTCCATCAACAGATGACTGGATAAACAAAATGTGATATATCCATACAATGGAATACTATTCAACCCTCAAAAGGGACAGAATTCTGTCACCTGCTACAACATGGATGAACCTTTAGGACATGATGCTAAGAGAGATACACCAGTCACAAAAGGACAAATACTATAAGATTCTAATTATACAAGGTCCCTAGAGGAGTCAGAAAGTAGGATGGTGGGTACCAGGGGCTGAAGAAGGGAAAGGGGAGTTAGTGTTACATGGAGACAGTTTTCAGTTTAGGAAGATGAAAAAGTTCTGGAGATGGACGGTGGATATGGGTGCACAGCAATGTGAATATGCTTAATGCCACTGAATCAGATACTTCAAAATGGTTAGGATGGCACATTTTGTGTCAGGCATATTTTATCAAAATTAAAATTTTGTACATCAGTAAGGCCCCACGAGAGCCCCAAGACAGTGTCCCCAAGTTTCCTGGCCCTTTTCTGGAGAATCTGGAAGCAAACAGACTCTAGATGTAAATGCAGACTCAGTCTCTGGTTCACTGGGGGACTCTGGGCAGGGGACTCCCCCAGGGTTAAGTATAAAGCAGAGCTAATGATGGTGCTGAAATGGCAAGAATACTCCTGAGAAGGAAAAATAAAGCTGGGGGAATCTCGCTTCCCAACTTCAAGCTCTACTACAAAGCCACAGTAATCAAAACAATTTGGTACTGGCACAAGAACAGACCCACAGACCAGTGGAACAGAATAGAGAGTCCAGATATTAACCCAAACATATATGGTCAATTAATATACATAAAGGAGCCATGGACACACAATGGGGAAATGACAGCCTCTTCAACAGCTGGTGTTGGCAAAACTGGACAGCTACATGTAAGAGAATGAAACTGGACCATTGTCTAACTGCATACACAAAAGTAAATTCAAAATGAACCAAAGACCCGAATGTAAGTCAGGAAACCATAAAACTCTTAGAAAAAAACATCGGCAAAAATCTCTTGGACATAAACATGAGCAACTTCTTCATGAACATATCTCCCTGGGCAAGGGAAATAAAAGCAAAAATGAACAAGTGGGACTATATCAAACTAAGAAGCTTCTGTACAGCAAAGGACACCATCAATAGGACAAAAAAGCATCCTACAGTATGGGATAATATATTCATAAATGACATATCCGACAACGGGTTGACATCCAAAATATATAAAGAGCTCATGTACCTCAACAAACAAAAAGCAAATAATTTAATTAAAAAATGGGCACAGGATCTGAACAGACACTTCTCCAAAGAAGAAATTCAGATGGCCAACAAACACATGAGAAGATGCTCCACATTGCTAATCATCAGAGAAATGCAAATTAAAACCACAATGAGATATCACCTCACACCAGTAAGGATCGCCACCATCCAAAAGACAGACAACAACAAATGTTGGCGAGGTTGTGGAGAAAGGGGAACCCTCCTACATTGCTGGTGGGAATGTCAATTAGTTCAACCATTGTGGAAAGCAGTATGGAGGTTCCTCAAAAAACTCAAAATAGAAATACCATTTGACCCAGGAATTCCACTCCTAGAAATTTACCTTAAGAATGCAGTAGCCCAGTCTGAAAAAGACATATGCACCCCTATGTTTATCACAGCACTATTTACAATAGCCAAGAAATAGAAGCAACCTAAGTGTCCATCAGTAGATGAATGGATAAAGAAGAGGTGGTACATATACACAATGGAATATTATTCAGCCATAAGAAGAAAGCAAATCCTACCATTTGCAACAACATGGATGGAGCTAGAGGGTATTATGCTCAGTGAAATAAGCCAGGCGGAGAAAGACAAGTATCAAATGATTTCACTCATCTGTGGAGTATAATAACAAAGAAAAAAACAGAAGGAACAAAACAGCAGCAGAATCACAGAACCCAAGAATGGACTAACAGTTACCAAAGGGAAAGGGACTCGGCAGGATGGGTGGGAAGGGAGGGAAAAGGGAAAAAAAGAAAAGGGGGCATTACTATTAGCAGACATAATGTGGGGGGGGTGCTTGGGGAGGGCTGTGTAACACAGAGAAGACAAGTAGTGACTCTACAGCATCTTACTATACTAATGGACAGTGACTATAATGGGGTATGTGGGGGGACTTGGTGATGGGGGAGTCTAGCACACATAATGTCCCTCATGTAATTGTAGATTAATGATACAAAAAAAATGAAATCAAATAGCGGTGACAGCTACACAACTTTGTGACTACACCCAGAACCACTTTAAAATGGCAAATGTCATAGTGTGTGAATTATATCTCAATTTAAAAATTAATGTTTTAAAACAATGTATGAAGTGCACATGTACAAGAGGTCTGGATTGCCTCTGTAGGCTCACCCAAGGAGCACATAACCGATTTCCTCCACATTTGGTTCCCGGCTGTATCGGGTTCTGCCAATGAAAGGCATCAGCTGGAGATCAGAGGGCAGAGAACAACCAGGGTACTTAATCCCCAAGCTGGATAAATGCGGGGTCACTGGATTAGCAGCATCTCTCCAATTAAGGCTTCAGATCCAATTTCTCAGAAACACTCCCTTCCTTTGCTCCTTTGGCTGAAGATGGTGATAAGACACCACAGTTGCAGAATGACATGGCACTGACCTCTGCAGGGCTCCCTCCCTCTGCCTTTAAAAACTGTCCCTGTCTTCACTGCTCCCCAAATCATCCATGTTGAGTGTGCTCTCTCTTTCCTTCCAGAATTCTGATGGAACATTACAGAGCAGAGAAGCAAAATGAAGGCATACTAGGCCACCACCAGACCACCATTTAGAACAATAGCCATAGTCCCTGCCTGCCTGCACCCAAAGGTCTCCACTGTCCTGTTTTATGCCCAATAGCCCCTTGATCTTTTAAAACTCCCCTAAATAAATCATTTTATGCAACAAATTTGCTTCCTTGCCATGAAGGGAAAGCCATACCTGGTCGCCACAAGAGAAGTCAAACTTGGTATTTATTTGTGGGTGGGGCATGCAGTCTTCCAAATATCAGACTCACAGACTCTCGGTGCAAGAAAGTACCAGACCTTTTCTCCCAGACTCTCTTGCAGCTAGAGGGTGAGCGTGTGACCCCAATTCCACTCAGCAGATGCACAGGATTTAGAATTGAAAGCCGGCCACGCAAAGGACAGATCAGGAAAGGGAGGTGGTAGAAGGGACAGAAGCATTGCACTGCCAAGTTTGGCAGCTAGTGCTGTTTCAGGGGGGTGAGTTAGGCTGCTGCCTTGCACCCCTACTTTGTTCCTTTCCATCTTGTGGGACTGGTGAGTCCATGAGCACCCCGTATCCACCCGATAAATTCCTTTGCAGCTTAAATCACCCTGAGTCAGTTTCTGTTGCATACAAGAAAGAATCATCACCAATCCAGATGGCAACTATAAAAACACATGCAGTGAGTGGGTGGGGGAAACTGTTATTAAATTCTAGCTGGACGCTCTTGGTGACCAACAGAGACTGACCAACGTTCAAAATGTGTTAAAGATACACTAACCCTTGGCTCTTGATTCTACACTCCCACCTCCCACCTCCGTCTTCCCATTCTGAGTGAAGATAAATCTGTTTTTCTGGATGCTCAAGCCAAAAATCTTGTCATCTCTACTTCCTCTCTTGCACAGCTCACAGCTCATTCAGATCTTGTTCACCTGACCTACAAATATATTCAGGACCAACTACTCTGCAACACCTTCTCAGACCCCCACCCGGTGCTACCTGGAGTGTTTCCACTGCCTCCCCACCCCTTCTGCATTTGTCTCCCCTACCCACAATTCATTCACATCTTTTGAATAGATAAACCATTCACAGGGCTTTTGAAAATCAAAAAACACATACTTGAGAATGATTTTAAAACAATTCTCTAATCCCCCTTTTCCCTCAGTCACTTGATTCCTGACCCCCCTCCCCTGCCTACCTATTGCAACTTGCTGGAGTCTTATATGCAGATTTTCTTTCTGATTATAAAGAAACAAAACTGGTGAATGGACAATGTGTGGTATATCCATACAAAGGAATATTATCCAACCTTAAAAAGAAAGGAAATTCTCACACCTGCTACAACATGGATGAACCTTGAAGACTTTATGCTCCGTGAAATAAGCCAGGTACAAAAGGACAAATACATTGCATGATTCCCTTATAAGTGCTACGTAGAATATGCAAACGTATAGACAGAAAGTAAAACAGTGGTTGCCAGGGGCTGGAGGGAAGGGATGGGGAGTTGGTGTTTGATGGAGACAGACTTTCAGTTTGGGAAGACAGAAAGTTCTGGAGATGGATGGTGGTGATGGCTGCACAGAGATGTAGC